CTTTGTGAACTCACAAGACACCAGAGTCTGCATTGCCTTTGTCACAACTCAACATTATTACTTTGTCACTGGGCAAGAAACTTCATTTATATTCTGAACACATACTAATGATTACCTCACTGTACATCTGACTCATGCAGCAAAAGAGTATCAGCTGGTAAATAATAAATACTGAAATGCATGGATGCCATTTACCAGTCAAATATAAATAGTAGTGATTGGAATGTACTTGAAATGTATGTATATGTACCATCACAGATGGCGCTGGCATCTTCACTGTGACCACAGTTGTGGACCCCAAATCCCTGATGACTGCAGTCTGTGATCGATGATTCATTTCCCAGACATCTAACATTGTCCAACCAGATGAGTCCACTGCCCTGTCCAAACTGGGCTTGTGGTGGCGCTGCATAAGCTCCACCACAGTCCAGCTGTCTGCACACCACCTGAGCATCATTCATGTCCCAGAAATTGTCACACACTGTCCCCCACTGTCCATCATGGAAGACCTCCACTCTGCCAGAGCAGCGGTTGTCAGCGTTGACCAGCCTCACTGGTGAAAGAGCTAACAGAAGAACAGAGAGCACACACTGTAAAAGTGAACTTTTCTTTTAACCAGTTTTAAACTGTAATTATTTGAACACTTTGCTGTTATTTTACATGTTTTCCCAGCTTTTCTAATTCAAGATAATGTCTACTGGTAGTTAAACTGTTAATGGATATGTTGAATGTCAAATGAACAGGACAAAGCACAATCTGTATTTTTACAAATATTAATTGCAAGGATTATTATTTTGCAAATGGTACTTTTTGTGAAATTATGAAATTAGAGTACTTTAGCTAAATTAGTTAAAAACAAACAAAAAAATAAACAGATATTTGCCATTATGTTTTACACTTTTTACAGTTTTTAAATTTACAGTGTTCCATTTTCTTTAAATGTATTTTTCTGACACCCTCTCTGCCAGATTTTCTGTATTTTTAAAACTTTCTTTTTTTTTTATTATTACAGTGCAGCACTGATGATGGAAAACACAGATGAAACTGGACTTTAAGGAAGATGATAGTTTGGAAAAAGCAGCTTTTTGTCAAAAAAGGAAACAACATTAAATGTGGAAACACCTGCAGGTAAGAACACAAAACAGCAATGTAAATGACAAATATCATGTTTCTGTAATACTTTGTTACCTATATCCAGCTCAATGTTATATCACAGACAGACAGCAACATTGTCTTTTGCAGCATAAACTCATCTTTACCTTCACAAACAACACCAGCGTCTTCATTGTGCCCACAGTTGTGAGATCCTAACCCTTGGTGACGACACTCAGAGAGCCTTGATTCACTGCCTCTGCACATGACATC